TGCGCCAACCATCACCATTATCATTGCACTCCAAACACTACTGGCTGTGCCTAGGGAACAGTGTTGCTTATACCGTACTATAATGCTTGCTACTCTTAGTCTTTTTCTGTGTGTTCTTATGTTTTTAGCTTCTTTATTTAACAGGTTAACAGGAACCAAACAACTTTTCATCAGTTATGATGAAATGTGACTGACATTTTAAATTTACCTTATCTTCTGAGTGTCAGAAAATGAATATTTATTCTTTCATGCCTGATATTACAAAGTCATTCATTATCTGTCAGGGCATAGATTGGTTCATGAATTGACACATGCTGATTTCCAAGATGAACATATATCTTGATTCCCAAGGAGGTTCTAAGTCTCTACAGTTATATTAATAAATGAACAGAGGTCTGAGGAACAAGTTCTGTCCAGTCTAATATCTTTTCTGTGGGTTCATTGTTAACCATTTTCAAATTTCAGAAGAATATTCCTTTATGATACTATATATAGAATCTACCTCATTCAGATTCTACTTCCTATATTTCTTTTGGTCTCAAATCCTTCCTGGCTGAGGCAGGCTATAAGTAAATTCATTAAAAATAAAACAGATTCTGGAAGCTGGATAGATCACAGTTGGAAAATGTTTGTTATATTGCATTTATATGTACAACTAATTGCCCCTCTGTTCCAAGAACAGACAGAATTTTACCTAATTCTTTGAAAAGACAGAGTAGTGGTGGCTTAAGGCCTGGACTCTGGCAGCAGCAGCAGCAGCACTTTCCACCTCCAGCAGGACTGTGAAGATGAAAGAAGTGAATCTAGGGAGAACCCTTAGAATAGTATCTGGTGAAAAGTGCTGAGTGAAATATGTGAGACCTGCTATTATTAGACATTGAAAAGCAGACTTTCCATTTTGACTCCTTTCCCACACTGTGTTCAGACTTAGCTCTTGTCAGATATCCAATGTCTAGTTCAGAGTCAAGATTGAGTGCTCTGTGACAACTTAGAGGCCTTCTGTTTGCTGACAATTTAAACCTATCTAATAAAAGAGCAATATGCAAATTGAGTACACCTCACTACACCCACAAGCCATACCCACCAGCCAATCAGGAGTGAGTATGCAAATTAACCAACCAAGATGGCTGCGGCACAGAGCTGGAGGGAGCAGGAGGCTTGTGTTTCCCTGGCAATAGAGGAAGCCAAGCTTCCCGCATACCCTGGCAGGCCCTGGACTCCAATGAAGGTTACAAAGTTTCAATGATAGAAGATATATAAATCCCAACAAAAATGATGGCAGCCACGGAGCTGGAGAGATCAGGAGGCTTGGGTTTCCCCTGGCGATGGAGGATGCCAAGCTTCCTGGCCTTGGTTGCTGCTCAAGGCTACAAAGTTTCAATTATAGAAGATAAATAAATCCCCAAAAAAAGGCTGCAGCCACAGAGTGAGCAGGAGGCTTGGGTTTCCCCAGCAATAGAGGAAGCCAACCTTTCTGCCCACCCTGGCCTTCCCTGGCCTCCTCTGAACACTACAAAGTTTCAATTATAGAAGACAAATAAATCTCAGATACTAGAGCTTCTGCTTGGGTCGACAGCCCCCTCACCCAGGCCACTGCACGCCCCAAGGGAATCCCCACCCTGATCTGGGACACCCTTCATGGAAAGCCAGCCAGCCCCCATCCATGCACCAGGCTTCTATCCTATCTAATAAAAGAGTAATATGCAAATTGACCATCAGTCCAACACAAGATGGCTACTCCCATGTGGATACAAGATGGCCACCACAAGATGGCCAGCAGAGGAGGGCAGTTGGGAGGGACCAGGCCTGTAGGGGAGAGCAGTTAGGGATGACCAGGCCTGCAGGGGAGGGCAGTTTAGGGGCAAACAGGCTGGCAGGGGAGCAGTTAGGCATCAATAAGGCTGGCAGGGGAGTGTTTAGGGGATGATTAGGCTGGCTGGCAGAAGTGGTTAGGGGCAATCAGGAAGGCAGGCAGGAGAGCAGCTGGGAGCCAGCAATCCTGGATTGTGAGAGTGATATCCAATTGTCCATTTAGGGCTGATCCTGGTAGGACAGTTAGCGGTGAGATCAGGCCTAAATGAGAAGTTGGTAGGATTGGGCCTAAATGGGCAGTCAGACATCCCTCTTGGGGTCCCAGATTGGAGATAGTGCAGGCTGGGCTGAGGGACACACACCCCCATGCACGAATTTTGTGTACTGGGCTTCTAGTAAGGGAAGTAATTGACCTATTTGAAATTCAGCCTTTGGCTAGCTGGAGCCACACAATTGTAGTGATTCCCCTTTCAATGACTAGCAAAATTAAATTTGTATGACTTGGAAGTATAGTTTTAGGTGTTCTTCCATGAACTTGTAGTACCTCTTATTCCCCTGGACCCTCCATGCCATCTGTGAACAGTCAGTCACCTATAGGACAGTCACTCTCACTGCTTGCTTTTTCTTAAAGTTCTCATGTGAGTCTTATGGGATTCAGTTTGTTCCAATCTCCAGAGCTTTGTTGTTGGTCTTCCCAGGTTGCAATGCCCCTTTTCCTCTTCCCTACATTATCCCTCCTTTTCTTCCAAATGAAACCCCAAACCTCTGGAATCTTATTGTTTTTATTCCTCTGTCTAGTCCCTGATTATTACCTATGTATCTTTTATGTTATGGTAATTTGTCCACATGAATTATTGCTTTACAAATGTTTCTTACTTATACCTCTTTTTTTCCCTGTTAGATTGCAGGATCCTTAGTAGTAAAGCATGTGACCTAAATTCTTTTGTAGTTTATCCTGCTATAAACAGTAAATAATACTTAGTGGTTTTTTAAAATTACTTTTTTCTCCTAATCTTCTCAACCTTGTAACTTAGCCTTTCTAGGTGGTCTCCACCTTGTGGTTAATGTATCTTGAGTATTTTCTATTGTCTTGTATCTTGTAACCTCAATATCTTCTGATACTTATTTTACATTTTTTTATTTTAATGGTTACAAAGCATGTCCAATCTACAATACTTACATGTCATACCAGTGAAATTAAAGAGTTGAAATGTTTCTCAGAATACAAAGGGTAAAAACAGTGCCCTACTGCAGGTAGAACTGAGCCTTCTTTGTGACCTGACAGAATTCTTTCTCGTGTACCTTTCATTTCTCTCTCTCTTTATTGGACTAAAGATCATGTCTTATAGTTTTATTAATCTCTAGCACTTGGCTAGAGATTACCTGGAATATAGTAAGTGCTTAATGAATTTTTATTCAAGAAATGAAAGAGTAAGCAAAGAGATTATATCCATGAAAATAGTACGTAGAACTTAACTGGGCTTCATTGTTTTCCAAAACTTTGCTTTAGACTATTGCTTTCAAGTGTGGGCCCTGGAGCCAGGCTGGCATGATTTAATATCACACATCTATCACTTAGTAGCTGGCCATGGAGATCAAATGATTTCTCTGAGTCTAGTTTTCTCATATCTAATTTTCTAAAATCTTAAGGTTGCTAGATTTTAATACTTTGACTAGTATTCAGAATATAGTAAATACTCGGGGAATTTAACTATTATTATATTTAAATAATATTAAAATGTATTGATATTTACTTATGAAAGGAGACAAAGAAAACACTGTCATACCATTGTCACCATCTGCATTTATTGCCTACTTAGGATTTGAGTAAATTCTCCAAAGGATAATTCATCAACTTTAGACCTAGGTTTGGGAATTGGGACAGAGAATTTTTATTTAGATAACTAAATGGTGATATGAATATTTAGAAGTTTATTCATAATTAAATTTTTAATTTAAACATTTTGGAAAAATATACATAACACAAAATTTACCATCTTAATAATTTTTAAGTGTACAGATCGGTGACATGAAATACATTCACATTGTTATGTAAGCATCACCACTCTCCATCTCCAGAACTTTTGTCACAGGAACAAAACTGAAAATCTATAACCATTAAATAAATAACTCCCTATTCCCTTCTCATCCCCTCCCTTGGGCAACCACCATTTTATTTCCTGTCTCTTTGAATTTAACTACTCTAGATATCTCATATAAGTGGAATAACATAGTATTTGTCCTTTTGTGTCTGGCTTATTTCATTTGGCATAACGTCTTCAAGATTATCCATGTCCTAGAATGTGTTTTTTAAGGCTGAATACAATTTTTTTTTTAATGGTTACAAAGCATTTCCTCTCTATTGCTGTGTTTCAGTGTTTCCCCTTTTTGAACAATTCTAATGAAAGTTGAGACCTGAAATAATAATGGAAGATTGAAAAACAAAACAAAACATATAATACAACACCTCTAGTAGCCAGGAAATCTGATTCAGAACATACATTTTTGCCTTTATAAAGAATACATCCATATAAGATTTTGTTTTAGAAACAACAGAATTGTTAAAATGTGTGGCTTTTTTGTTTTAACAGTGATTACAACATCATATTGGTCAATATACTCACTGACCATAAAAGCAGGAAAATGTGCATTTACTTGATAATATTCAGAATGAGTTGGCAACTGATCTCTGAGCTCTGGGATTCACTGAAAGGTGAAATGAAAAATGCTTTAACCTGCCAAGACTTGAGTTTAAGCCCTTAAAACTGTACATTTTCCCAATAATTGCTAAGATAATTAAATTGCAAAACTGGATAATGAAATATCTGCCATGAATTTTATTTCAGACAGCAAGCTATTAAAATAGCAAGAAAATCAGCAAGACATCAGGGAAGTCAAGAACAAAATTACATATAACAATCTTGTTATTTTAAAATATATTTTTCAATATAAATGAGGGCTCTATAAGGTGCCTGAGAACTTCTTGGGGTGTGGATGTCCTCTTTTTCTCACAGAAATCCAACTTTAAATTGGATTTTATTTGTTAACTTAGGTCGTAGAAACATTTTTGCATTCATTATTCATATCCTGCCCACTACAAAAATTATTTGAGGCCATTGAGAGAATATTAAAGAATGTAATTTAAGAAATCTGAGTGTAAATTCTCTAGCATGTCTTTTGTTGTTCAGGCACTGACCTTTCCTCTGGAAGGATTAGCAAAAACCTTTACCAAGAACATTAACTGGAGACAGTTGGGAAATAGTTCAGCAGCTTCTCAGATGGTGGTTGTTTCTTGTCTACCTGGGATTGGTCAATTAGGATTTTCTTGGCCTGTAAAAACAGTAACCATATGTTCTAGATTTTCTGGGACAGCCTTAATTAAAAATATTCTTTCCCGTTGTTAGACCATGTGTCAAACCATGTGTTCTGGTATTTTTTTCTCCGCCTCTTTTTGACCCATCAAATGTTTTTCCAATAATCATTGCCTATAGTTAACCCTCACTGGCTTATGAGTCCTTATGCCATGCCAAACCCTTATGCTAGATAACGACTGAGAAAAAGACTGCCCTTAAGAAGTTTATAGTTCGCCGAAACCAGTTTGGCTAAGTGGCTAGACTCAGGCACATGTGTCAAACACAAGGCCCGTGGGCCAAATCCGTCCCGCCAGGCCTTGCAATGTGGCCCGCACCGCGCTGTCATCACTGCACTCCGCTGCGTTTCCATCACAATGACAGTTTATGACTGTTCAGTAAACCATTCGGCCCGCAATTTAGGCTGGATTTTAGATTTTGACCCCTTCTCTGATTGAGTTCGACACCCCTAGGCTAGAGTGTCGGCCTGAGGATTGAAAGGTCCCGGGTTCGATTCTGGTCAAGGGCACGTACCTTGGTTGCAGGCACATCCCCATTGGGGGGTGCAAGAGGCAGCTGGTCGATGTTTCTCTCTCATCGACATTTCTAACTCTCTATCCCTCTCAATTCCTCTCTGTGTAAAAATCAATAAGATATATTTAAAAAAAAAAAAAAAGAAGTTTATAGTTTAACCTAGAGATAAAAAGGCAAGCCTATGAACTAAACAAGGTAAACAGAGCCTTTAGAAAGGTCTAATAAGGACTCTGGGAATTTGGGGAAAGGTGAGATGACTACTTGCCGAGTGAGGAGATGGCGCCTGAGTTGGGGTTGGAGGATTGGGAGCTGGAGAGGCAAGGAGGCAGGATGGCTGAAGGGAGGCCGGTCTTCCAGGCAGAGGGCTCAGGGTGAGTCAAGGGAGGTGCTCAGGCTGGAGCAATTGCAGGGCTGGCATCTGCAAGTGGGTGACTTCTTCCATTCTGTCCCTGGGAACCTTGCTTGCCCCACCTAGTTGCAGCCCTCAGAAGGGAAGAATTTGGGGTGGCTAGAACAGAGTGAGCAGATGACCAATGATCGGTAAAGAGAGGCCCAGGAAAGCATTGTCCTGGTATTTTTAATGAGAAATGTGGTCAGCTGACCCATAATTTTCAGTGTTTCTCTAATGGTTAAAAGAATTTAATTTGCCATGATTATGCATTTAATGTGTTAGATTTTAAAAGTTATTTAAGTACTTAGGAAGTACTCATCTATATATATATATAAAAGCCTAAGTAACTCTACACCCATTCAACCAGCTATGACATGCAATGACCACCAGGGGGGCAGATGCTCAGTGCACAGACGTGGAAACATGGAACAGACTGGTGAATCTCAGAGGTAAGAGAGGTAAGGGGAGGATGGGAAGAGATTAACCAAAGATCTTGCATGCGTACTAGAGGTCTGGTGCATGGATTTCTGCATCAGTGGGGTCCTTCAATCTGGCCTGTGGGGATTGGATCGAAACTGGCAGTCTGACATCCCCCAAGGGGTCCCAGATTACAAGAGGGTGCAGGTCAGGCCAAGGGACCCCACTGGTGCATGAATCCATGCACAGGGTCTCTAGTTGAGTTATAAAGTTGTTCTGCAGACATTTGAAGTATTTCAAATAAAAATCATCTCTTAAATTTATAAATGCAGTTTAAAATGTTTAAGGGGATTTAATTATCCAAATTTGTACTGTTTAATTTAGTTTATTTAACATCAGCTAATCAAATATTAATCAAAGAAAAGTGAAAGATTATTTTTTAAATTTTCTTTTATTTTTAAAAATTGATTTATTTTTAAAATATATCTTTCATTGTTGATGGTATTACAGATATCTCCCACTTCCTCCCTGTCCTCCACCCCACCTCCTCTTTCCAACCTCAGGTCTTCACTATTCTATCGCCAGGGTCTATGGGCTATGCATATAGAGAGATTAATTCTTAATTTGCATAACAAGCTTACTAATTTAAACTCAAAGAAAACTGAATTTTTAATTTTGTAACTTAAAAAATGAAATATTAATTTGATATTTCAGTAAGTGTAAATAGTTTTCAGGGTGATAAAGTATAGCATAGGGAATATAGTCAATAATCTATAATAATAAAGGCATAATATGCTAATTAGACTGGATGTCCTTCCAGATGAAGCCAGGGCTGTGAGGGAAGCCAGGGTCCCAGGTGTCTGCCAGTGGCTGGAGGGAAGCCCGAGTCCTGAGTGCCAGAGGGAAGCCAGTGCTGGCAGCCGGGAGAAGGAAGGCCTACCCTTGCAGGATTTTCATGCATCGGGCCTCTAGTATTGTAATAACTATAGATGATGTCAGATAGGTACTAGATTTATCAGGGTCATCACTTCATAAGTGATGTAAATGCCTGATCACTATGTTGTACATCTAAAACTAATGTAATATTGTATGTCAACTGTAATTGAAAATATTTATAAATGAAAAAAATTGTAGTTTTTTTTTTTACTCCTAAAGATTCCTTTTCTAAGACATAAAAACAAACAAGTAAACTTTTTGACAATAGCAAAAGACAAATCCCAAGTATGTTTAAATGTTGATGACACCTAATTTCCCAAGTCTCTTAGCTCCTATAGCCCTGAAATATCTGGAATATAAATGATCCACAGCAATCCTCTTAATCTAAGGAAGAGAATTATTAGCACTTTTTAAATTTTCTATTAAATGCAAAGCTCCTTTATCATAGGGCAGGGATAGTATATGTTTATATTGTAAAATGGAATTGCTCATTTGGTTTGTAAATGATCTGTTTTAACACATGCCGATTACTAAATAAATTACAAAAACACTTTTACAGCTAGAAAGTCTCAGACTTGTCACCTCTTCCTCTTCTTTCCCTACCTCATAGTTCTCTTCTTGGGTGCCATACCACCCCACAGTTTCTGTTCTTGGATGTGATACAAGTGAAATAAAAAATTGTGGCATCAGCAGATGCAAACAGAATTGCAAAGCCTAATGTCTTTGATATTGGGAGAGCTGAAACTGCATAATTCTCTTTTTTCACTTCTAGTCTGTGCACATCTGCTCATAAAAAAAACCCTGCAAATTTGTGGGGCAGGCACACTGCAGGTCATTAACTGCCTGGACAGACCCAAGACTTATCCATGCACTGTGTTCTCAGACCAGGGTGATTGTGCAGTGGCACATACCTACACTATGGCCGATCACCCTGTAGATGGCTACACATTTATTTGCTTTGGACCCTTCTTGCTATTCATATGTTTATTAAGAAAAAAAGTTCCTATAGCACTATCTTCTGGATTAGTTTAATTGAAGAGTACTCTGTGATTTCAAGCAAACTGTAAAATAATCCTCCCTAGATGACCTTTCATTCTCCTAATCCAAGGCTTCAAATACTTTTTATACACCAGTGTCTGGGAAACTCTGAACCTCTTTACTAAACTTCATTGCCATACATCAAAATGGCCACTGGACATTTCCCCTGAGAGACCTCACATGCTTCTCAAACTTAATATATTCAAACTGAACTCTTGTTCACCCCTACATTCACACTCAGAGCTGCATTTCCTTGCGTATTTTAGTGAATGGATGGTGATTCTTCAACCCAACTGCTCAAGCTAGAATTCTGAAACTATTCCTTCAAGCTCCTCCCCTACATCCAATCCATCACCAAATTATAATAATCTTATTTTCTAAACATATCACAAATTTGTTCCCTTATGTCTACAGCCACTATTCTTATTCAGGTTACCATTATCCCTTGACTGGACTATTGCAAAATTGTCCTACCTGGTCTTTCTATTTTTAATTTACTGCTTCCCTCCAATTCATTTTTTATGTAGCAACCAGAAGGATTTTTTAAAAGCATAAATGTCATCATGCCTAATCATACCTTTATATTGTATATTCAAAATAAATCCAAACTGCCTCCAAGTGGTCTCAAATGCCCTTTGTGATCTGGTTGCTGCTACCTTTCGTGGCTCATCTCATAGAACTCTTCTCTCCCTTGATGTCTTCCAACTTGTACTGGCTTTTCAGATTCTCAAACACCCTCACGCTCTTTACTACCTTCTGACTGATAGCTTTCCCTGCATGTCACTGTCCGGTTAACTCCTTCACTTAAAGCACATGTGTCAAACACAAGGCCCGCGGGCCAAATCTGTCCCGCCAGGCCTTGCAATGTGGCCCGCACCGCGCTGTCATCACTGCACTCCGCTGCGTTTCCATCACAATGACAGTTTATGACTGTTCAGTAAACCATTCGGCCCGTGATTTAAGGTGGATTTTAGATTTTGGCCCCTTCTCTGATTGAGTTCGACACCCCTAACTTAAAGTGTCAGAAAAAAAAAAAAGTGTCAGAAAAGCCTTTTTTAATCTTCTAGTCTAATTACCATTTAGTCAAAATGTTTTTATTATGTGATTCCTGGTTTGTCTGTCTCCCTCTGGACTGTAGCATGAGGGCAGGAACTATTTACTACTAACACTGTCTGGAGACTGCTTACATACTACCATGTTTCTCGGAAAATAAAACATCCTCCGAAAATAAGACCTACTTACAGGTTTCCTTCTGAGAGAAATATAAGGTATTCCCCTGAAACTAAGGCTCTATCTCAGAATGAAAATTAATTTACCATAAACTGATTGCTAGGGCCTCCCCGACTGGCGTCTAGCAACCAGTGATGTTACCCAGAGTCCTGACATCACTGCTGTGTGGAGACGAGCGGAGGTTGGAATGAGCAGTGAGCGCAGGGCGGGAGAGAGGAGGAGACTTTCGCAGATGTGTGTAGAAGAACAGGAGGATTAGAGAGGACAGGACTCTGAGAAGGTGGTGAGTGCTGGTCTGTCTTTGGTGACACTACCTGATGCTCCCGGCCACCTTCATGATGACTGAAGGTTCTCAGTCAGTGGCAGACCCTGCTCCAGCCCAGATCCAGGCCCCAGCAAGCCCAGTGACAGTCCCCAGGCAGGCCCCAGGGGATAAATGTCTGATAAGGGGTAGGGGAGATGTCTGGTGAAGGTGGTCAGTGGTACAGGGGTGGGGGGAGAGGGATCACTTAAAATGACACAGAAGGATCAGAGGGAGCAATCAAAATGACACAAGAGGATCAAAAGGGGTTACTAAATTGGTAATCCCCCCTCTGATCCCCCGTGTCATTTTAAGTGATCCCCCTCCCCCCATCTTGATACCCCAATTCCTTTTTTTT